CGCTGGAGCATTATCCTTCTCTAAAGTTGGTACAAGTTATCCGATAGTAGTATCCGATAGTAGATTTTGCTTATAGGTAATGTGGTTTATCCTCATCCGGTTAGTTGCCATTTAGAGGCCAAATTTCCAAGGCCCGTAAAGACGAGTTCAGCTCATTAAAAAGCATAATTATCCGCTTTGCAGACCAAGAGTAAGTGATTTTGAGAAGAATGAAGGAATTAGTGTGAAAAACAGAAGAAGTCAAGTCGGAATGATAGCATAGAGAAAGCGGACATTTTTTCTTTTTTTTTTTTTTTAATTCACCTCCTCAAGGCCGAGAAGGCCACTACAGACGAGGAGGCTACTTATTTGTGGTTATAACCCTCTCTCAACTCTATAACTCCGAAACACGAACCTTAACAAACAAATTCGCTGCGCGGAGAAACGAGTTGAGCGCGGTACTACCAGGGACGTGGTGGGGATCGAACTCGGAACCACTCGTTTTATGAAGCGAGCGCTCTACCACTACACCACTACCGCTACATATAGCTGTAGAATGTGCAATTTGACCCATAATTTTATTTTATTTTAATTTTTTTTTCATCACTATATCAAGGATGTAAATTAACAAAAAGAATATTTTTACTTGTGACTTTATTGTTTTTTTGAATGAGTTTTCTTTATGTTTTTTCTTTTTATACCCGTTACACAATATAGTTACGCTTATTTGAGTAAAAGCTTAAAAATGTTAATTATTTGAGTACAAACCCACTTAAAAATTTTTAATTAATGTTTAGAAATTATGTTAGAAATAAGGAAATAAATAATATTTTACTCGATTTGAATTGCAACGTAATGAAGCATAACGCGCCCAAGGTTTTATGAAAAGTCCAGTGAAAGAAAATTCCTGGCTAGCCTTGACACTTGTCGGTTTCAAGTTCATTAGATTTACTGACTCAGGTAACGTTTCAGGTTCCTCAATCAAATTCAGCATATCAGAATATCATGTGACAAAGCTATAGAATTATCTTAGACTAAGTAAATATCAATTAATGATTTTTGTATAGTTTTTTACTTTGTAATACAGTTTAAGCATTAACAGAAGGCTGCCCCAACGTTTTTTGCAGTCCATTATTAAAGACATTTTTTTTCTAAACTCAGCCTTGATATATTTTTGTAAGATGTCGTTCATAAAAAAGTAATCATCTATATATTAGTATCAATTTGCGTATATTTTTTTAGAAGTTCATTTAGTTCAATTTTAGGTCTTAAATATATGAACGTAAATATTCATATATGACTTGTCCAAGATAGGGGAGGACAGGAACGCAGAAAAACTGGGAGCACAAAATGAACGGAAAAATGTACATAAAGCGGTCAAAATAAAAATTTACTTTATAATTTATTTATTTCATCTTTGCCTAAAGAAAAAGGGACATTTACAAAATTTTAGAAAAATTTGAATTTCTAGGTTTGTTTGAAAATAGGAAATTTAGTTTCTTTCTTGACGAAATTTCAATTTCTTGCTGGGGAAAAAAGTTGTTTTGATTTTGTACGATAAGTTGGCAAATTTTTCCTTTAGTTATCATTGTTATTTATATTTGAATTTTAATATTCATTAACAAAAAGTTATAGTCATTACTACTATATAGACTAATACAGTAATCGCTTAAAATCGCTTACGATTATAATTAACAAGTCATACTGTATAACTGTGATTACTGCAGTAGTAGCACAATATAATTAAACCACGTACGTCATGAAATGTTATAGAAAGTAGTTTATAAATAAGTAATTTAAAATGTCATAGTTTTCGTTGAAAGGAGGTTGACAGCACAGCCTAAATATGAAATATCTGCCAAGTTATTTACAAAATATTTTCAAGTAGAGTTCAATCAAAGTGAAGAAATTGGTTGTCATTAGTAATTCGAGAAAATGAAAGAAAGTAGTCGTAAAACAACATGTCAGTCTCCTAGTTGCTGGCTATAGTGAAGGATCATTTATATCTAATTGAACGTCACTGCTGGTTACGTTCAAATAGATATAAATGCGTCAGTTCCCCTCAATTCTAAAATTCATGTGTTATTGAGTTTCCACAAGATCGTAACAATTGTTATTTTCTGAAATCATTATTGTACAGAAAATTAAATAATGGTGAATCTTATTTGAAAACCTAGCTACTATATTCATTAAGTTCCAATAAATTATTTTGTGTTTGTTGTAAGCTTTATTATTCAAATAAACCTAAATCATCATTGGCCACAGTTTAAATCAATAACTGGTAACGTGTTACTAAATAATTGAAATCACATGGAAATTCCACTAAATATTTGAGGTGTTTTACTAATTGGTTTGATACTAGTCGTAGGCTTGAAACAAATAAAACTATTGATAAAAAATAGCAATCTTTAATTACTAGAGAAAGAGATCGTTGGCGACTTGAGTTAGATCGCATGTACAACAAAACTTTGTACCTATCGAAAAATAACTTATCTTTTCGTGTTTCTTCAGCCAGATTATTTTCCCTTCAAAAGTTGTTGGAAGATGTAAATTTAAGTCTAATTAATTGTAGAGAGCAAGGATATGATAATGGTGCAAATATGAAGGGTAAAAATAAAGGCGTACAAGCTTGAGTTTGTGAACTAAATCCAAGAGATTTTTTATGTGTATGGAATCGTAAAAAAAAGTAACGACTTCGACTCTGACTGATTATAAATATATAAGGTAAATTGAATGTTTTGTACAGGCACGTGCAATACCGAGACGTTTTACTATTGGAGTCGGAGTCGCGATTTTGTTTAATGACTCCGACTCTGACTCCGCTGAAAATGTCACCACTCCGCAATTCCGACTCCGACTCCAACTCCGACTCCACAGCCCTGCTTGTAGATGTAATTCTCTAAGTTTAGTTATAAGTGATTATAACTAAATTTACAATAAAGATCATCTTGTATTGAGTCGATATCATTTTTTAGAATTGTCTAACAAATATATACACTGTTTTCAGCTTCAGTATCTAGATGGAACATACCAAAAGGTCATGTATCCAATTTTACTTCTTTGTGAAACTCAATTAAAAAGTCAAATTGAATGTTTAAAACCAATACGGTATCAAACAGTGAAAGTTTTCGATGCTTTAGTAACTTTGAATGAAACTTTTCTCATATTTCCATTAAACTAGAAGCTTATACATTATCTGAAAAACATTTTTTCTTTTTTGATAATTCTTGTTACCTGGTTTAATATTTTATATCGTGTAAATATTGTTAGCAAATCCATACAGCCATGGATATAGCCTCAGTAGTTTCACTTATGAAATCATGTACAGATTTTGTGATAGAATAAAGGGTAACTGGTTTTGAAAATTCTCTAGTGAATGAAAAAAAGTTGGCTAAATCTTTGCAAGTTGAGCTTATTTATAAAAAGATTACGCCGTAAAAAAAAAATGTTTGCTTTTGAGAGTAGAGATGCAATTGTAATAATTCCAAAGAACATTTTTAATGCCATAACATCTCTTCAAGAAAGATTTTAACAACTGAATGAGTTTCACCAAACATGGGAAATTTTATATAATCTGAAGAAATTTACCAGCGGACAATGACTTACATAAATTTTGAAAAGATCTGCATTTGAAATTAAAAATGGAAAATAATTGCGATATTGATGGCACAGAATTATTTGACGAGATGAAATTTGTATCTACCCTTTTGCCTAAAGATACTCTTGGACGTCCGCTAAATGTCTTGAACTTTATAAAATCAAGTGAATCGCAAATTGTGGTTCTTAATATTTGGATTTTATTACGAATGTCTGTCAAACTAATTACTGTTGCAAGTGAGAAATTTAGCAAATTGAAGCTAATAAAAAAATATTTACGATCTACTAAGAGTGACGAACGATTAAATAACTTAATCTATAATAGCCATCGAAAATGAAAGAGCAACACAATTAGACATAACCGAAAAAATCAAGAACTTTGAAGATTTAAAGGCTAAAAAAATTAACTTTTAGTATTGTATAAAGTTTAAATTAATTCCTGTTTAATCTTTTAAATAAATGATTTAGGATTTGTATTTGGACCTTACTTTCTTTAGTTATTTAATCTTTCTTTTAAAATACAAAACGTTGACCTTTTTTTTTCTGCAAATCAAACCTTTTCGATAATTTTTTTTATTGCAAAGCTAAAAATACAATTATTTTCTGCAATTCTATATTACTTCTAAATTATTTTATTGAGACGCAAAAGTTGTAATTTTTTTTCAGTACCTTGTTATATTTTTTCAGTACGTTGTTTTTTTGCTCAATCTTATAGGAAATCCCGGATTTGATAATAGAGAATCCCATGATTTCGAAATATATAAAAAACCAGGATCCCGGGATTGCAAACGTTATCAATTGTTGTTGTTTTTATGGTTTTTTTAGATATACATATGTCAACTTCTATCCAGGTCAGAAAATTGTCTAAATAGAAAGTATTTCTTTCACGTGAAGTTGAAGATTGCTTTAATATTTTTCTGGTCTTTTAGATCTTATTTTTCTACGGTTTACAAACTATTTTTGTTAAACAACTTCTTACAAAAATCATTTATAGTTAATCGCAAAGTTAGAAATATCTTGATCATCTCTACTTTTTGAAAAATGAAGTTATTGCGTTATAATGTTTTTCTACTGTTTGAATTGCGGAGGATAAATATTAACTTATGTATCCTCCGCAAAAATTGCGGAGGATACATAAGTTATAAAAATGTTTTTATATGGCGTCTCGTAAAAATTTCACTTTTTAAAATCGTTTTATCCCTTTTTGAATACCATCATGATTATCTAAAAGAGATGAAACAATAAACGATTAACTTATCTAAATTGAATCAGTCTATAGCAGCTAGCAACTATACTCTAATTTGTATTTACCTCTCTGTCCTCTCGATTGTTTTAATTTTGTTGTTAACACCAACTTCGTAGATTTAGCAAATAGATTATATCTGTTGTGAGTTTACTGTGAAGCTGTTTCTAGTTTGTTGTATAAGATAAAAAAGGTGATCCACAAAAAATAACATTTTAAAGCGCGTTTTTTGCAGAATTATAAATCAAAAGTACATGTCTTTTAAAATGCCGCGTCAAGAAATTTATTTACTATTTTAAAAACTGTAAAACATGCTCTTTTCTTTTTTGACAAATATTAACATCTAAGTAAACAAATTCAATTTTGTCGGCAAACATAAAAATTGAGAATTTTTTTACAGTTGATAATAGAAATACTCATTTACAGATGATGTTGGAGTTTAAAAAGTTATTTTCAGTAAAACATTCTTTTGTAACAAACCGTCGTTAAAATTAAATGGAGGAAGAAGGTGTTTGCAACGAATTCGATGATTTAAAGGGTGATTTTTGTTTCTGTTATATAAATAAACAATGCTTTTGACATTGTTTAAAAAAACCATTTGATTTTTTTAGTTAAAAAACTTCCTCAAGAAGTGTTGAACACGCTTGCACATGAAATACCCAATGACTGGAAAAAGCTTGCTCGTAGATTGGATATTAGCGATGAAAAAATTGATTGTGTGTTGAGTGAGTTTAATACTGCCTTTGAACAAACCTATCAAATTCTAAACAGTTGGATTAGAACGTATCCTAATAAAGTATGGATAGATATTAAAAATGGATTGGTTTATTGCAAAAGAAACGATGTAATTGATAAGTGTGAACGAAGTAAGTTTTTTTTATTTATTATAATGAATTAAGTTATCCAATGTTTTTATCGCATGAGCTATATATAACTCGCTTAAATATAATAAAATAAAGAACACTTATGAGTAGTAAGAAATAATGTCATATGAAAAGTTAAAACTTAATCTTAAACATTTCAATTAAGTTTGTAAGTAGTTCATGCGTGTTCTTTAAAAGTAGATTTGTTAGTGAGTGCGTTCATAGAGTTTTTCGTACACTGTAAAAAAAGTCAGGCCATATTGTTTAATAAAGCTGCCATGTCACGAAGCCCGATTTAACACACGATATATAAAATTAAAATTGCCACGCGACTTTTAGATATTAGGTTTGGCGTAACATTGCCATCTTATAGCTATTATTATAGCATAGCATAATCGCATGTCACCAAGCCCAATTTAGCGCGCCACATATAAATTTTCTAGACGTGGCGTTAAAAATCGGGCTCGGTGACATGCGACAAGATAGTGTTTTAGATATTTCGTGACAAATGAAAAATTTGAATGTCACGCCACACTTATTTTTAAAAAGTCGCGTGACTTATAAATGTCACGCCTCACTTAATATTAAGTAAGACGTGACATTTATAAGTCACGCGATTTTTTTAAAATAAGTGTGGCGTGAAATTAAAATTTTTCATTTGCTAAAATACTATCATGTCACATGTCACCAAGCCCGATTTTTTACGCCACGCGTGGCGTAAAAACGTGGCCGCGTTTAGAAAATTTAAATGTGACGCGCTAAGTTGGGCTTGGTGACATGCGACACGATAGTGTTTTGGATGTTGACAATTAAAAAATAAAATTTTTTTGCCATACTTAATTTAAAAAAATTGCGTGACTAATTTAATAAAAAATTAATAAATAAAACGATTTAATGGCACACTTTAATAAAAAAAAGAAAACCAAACAAAAATAAAAATTATATTTTATTTTGATAGTTTAAAAACCATCATCATATATAAACATTTAATTTTGAATTTTATATATATTTGAATTGTTAATATATTTTTAATTCAAAGCTAATAGTTAAACAGTTTCAAAATCCGAAGAAATAACAATACTTTTCAGAAGACTTTACATATTTTTAGCCAAAGCTTTTTAGTACAAGCAAATGGTAATTGCAAGTCATAATGCTGCAATAGCCCTAAAATACCTCCAAATGATCTTGGGTTAAGCGATAAAATATTTAAAAAAATATTAAAATAAAATGACGTAGTGAACTACTATGCCGATGACCCATTGCTACTACTTTCTATTTGTAAAAAAACGTTACATTTTCTACTAAGTTGCCTCACAAGTAAAGAAATATTAACTTCAGCCTAAAATTTTGTTATAAAGTGATGTTAGGTTCATCTTGATAACATAACATTACAAAAATTTTGTTATAAAGTGATGTTAGGTTCATTTTAATAACATAACATTACAAAAATAAATATTAAACTATAAAAAAAAAAAGAAACAACTTTTTATTAAACTTATACTAGCAATAATAATTGGACACAACACCCCACTTCTGTTAGTGCCTTCCTAGTTGGCTTGCGTCGTCCGGAGGACGTTTTTTGAACATCTTATGGACGTCTAGACAACCATGAAACGTCTGACGTCCTAAAGACGAAGCATGCCCACTGGGTTTTCTGGTACACAGCAAAATCCAAGATTCTTGTTTTAAGCAAAAAAAGTCTTAAAACAAGAAAAAAAAGACTTGTCCGCCACATTAGAATATTTTTTCTTGTTTTAAGAATTTATTTAAATTTCATGAAGATTTTTTTTTTTTCTTGTTTCAAGAATTTATATTCTTAAAATAAGATTTTTTTTTCATGTCTCAAGAATTTACATTTAAAAAAAAGGAATTTTTTTCTTATTTCAATATTATTTTTACGTACAGACAAAAGGATTTTCTTAATCTGAATATATATATATATATATATATATATATATATATATATATATATATATATATATATATATATATATATATATATATATATATATATATATATATATATATATATATATATTCGAGTGTTTTTAAAAAATCATACAAACATACAGCATTTTTTAAAACAATATGTCCAGTTTTAGCCTTTTGCAAGTTAATGCGGCAAGTACCTTATTAAGTGTTTAACTTTAGTATCTAAAAACACATTCCTTATTTAATTATTAATTGATTTCAATACATTATTGTACCTAACTCTAACCCTAACGAAGCAAAAACCTAAAAATGCCTGAGGTTGCTAAGTTTATGCTGACCTTGTTTTTATCTTTTATGGTGAAATCTTTAAGCAAATGGCTTTATGTTTGCTAATTGTAATCTGATGCCAACCTAAAACAGTTTAAGGTCGGCTATTTATTACTCACATTAGTTTTACTAATTGTGAGGGTTGTGTATACATGCATACTTACCTGTATTTGGGTGGCAGTGGGCGAGGAACTGCTAACTTGTGTATTTCATAATGTAAAAGTGTGTAAATGTCTTCAGTCAAGCTTACTCTTGCTGAGTCAACTGTGACAGAGGACTTTAATACACGGGCTATGTCGCCAACAGTCTGAATTAAATAAATAAAAAAAAAGCATACAATATTAAAAAGCAGAGAAACTTATAAAATAACCCATTAGAGGACATGGCAGTTTTAAAAAAATACCTTCTCACTTTAAAAAAAATTTGTGATATTAAATCACTATTACATTATTTCAAATAAAAATATGAAATCACAAACAAAAATAAAAAAAATCTAACCACCGTCACATAAGAGAAACATTTTTTTTCAAATATTTCTTTTAAAATAATGCAATTCAACTCTCTAAACTGGAAATATATTTACCCGGGTTAAGAAATTAAAATTCTATAATCAGATCAATTAAAATGCACCAGAACAAAGCTCTGGTGCATTTTAATTTATCATGTTATAAAAATAAGAATTAAAAAAAAGTAAAAAAATAAAATTAATTAGTAGTAGTAAACTTACTACATGAAAAGTTTTCTTTACTTATTTAACTTTGCATGTATTTGGAAACTTGCAATTGCTAAAAAGAAAGCACACACATATATATCATATATGTGTACATGTATGCAACATACACATGCATTTCATGAATATTTAGAAATAGTATTAATAATCTAAAGTAAAAACCAATTAGTTCTTTATCTTTGACATACATAAAATCATGAACACAGGTCTATCAGAGGGTGGAGAGGGATTTTAGAAGGAGAAACTTAATGGCTTTAATTTCTCTAAAATCTTTAATTGTTTAAATATATATATATATATATATATATATATATATATATATATATATATATATATATATATATATATATATATATACAAATATATATATATATATACATATATATATATATATATATATATATATATATATATATATATTCATATATATATATATATATATATATATATATATATAAATATATATATATATATATTCATATATATATATATATATATATATATATATATATATATATATATATATATATATACAAACAAAATGTTACAATAATATAAAATAAAGAACAATATTTTTTTATTAAAATATCATTAAATAAGAATGGAATTCTAAAATAAAAATCAAATTCTTAAAATAAGAACAAGAATTATTAACCTAGAATCTTGGATTTTTCTGTGTAGTATTCTTATGAATTGTATTAGGGCAGATGGAATATCTCTACCAGGATACAACTTTTAAACAACTTGCAACACCCAACAGTAATTATGTTTATTCTTTTAAATTCGTTCAAGATCTAAAAAGTTTTAAACACATATGAATAACTTTTTGTTGAAAGTGCGCAAAATACAAATTTATTCAAGAACAAAAACCTTATACTCATAAAAATTTATAAAAATAATTTCAGTCTGGGATTTAATGTGTTGTAGTGTATTTAGGGTTTCCTAGGGTTTTGGACAGTGGTTTTTCGAGTGTAAAGTGTTGAGGGGATTACCCGTTTAACGGGGGTTTAGGGTAGGTGAGTACTGTTTAGTAGTCAAGTTTTAAAGTTTCATACTAGTTTTATTCATGAATGTAACACTTAATATAAGAAAATATATTATAAAGAGTTTAAAAAAAAATTTGTATTTTTGTCACATAATCATAAATAAAAAAAAAGTTCTGACGCTTTTACATGCGGTCATGTGTTCAATCTGATTTTGATACATTTCTTTTATTGCACCTATTTAGCAAATAGTGATTTGTAAATCCATATTATAGTGAATGTGTCAATATTATAAAAAATATTTGCTAACAATTTCTTGATGGAACAGGTGTTCTTTGTGTTCTGAATATGGCAGAAAGCAGTGCATATTCCTTACTGAACAACTAATGTTTTCGATTTCGGAAACTTTTATATCAAAGCAAACTAACATACAAAAAATTTGCATAAAAACTAAATTAAAACTTATTAAATTCTTTCTGTATATATTAAGCAACAATAAAAATTTTTTATCTATAAAAAATTAATAAAAACCATTTCTTTTGAAAAAGATTTTAAAAGTATCACTTGTATATTTTCAAATGAGCTATCATTTATCTTATTTCAATATTATGGTATAGTTTCAATATAACACTATTGATATTTTATATATATATATATATATATATATATATATATATATATATATATATATATATATATATATATATATATATATATATATATATATATATAGGCACATATATTTATATATGTATATATATATATATATATATATATATATATATATATAAATATATAGGCACATATATTTATATATGTATATATATATATATATATATATATATATATATATATATATTATTCTATAAATAAATATAAATATATATGTATATATATATATATATATATATATGTTTATATATATATATATATATGTATATATATATATATATATATATATATATATATATATATATATATATATATATATATATATATATATATATATATATATATATATATATATATGAAGAGTGTATTTTCAAAATGCGGTATATCCATTTTTGTGGTATTGAGATAATTGACTTTTTTCGCCACACTAACATGTCTCGTATATTTGGAAAAATTATTGTTTCTTAATGTATATATACATAAAGTATACTTTATACAGTGTTATGAAAAAGTTTAGAACCACTAAAGAAAAAAAAATTATTTTCAAATAAAATTAATTAATTTTTTTTCTAAAGATAACAAAATAGTCTTTTTTTTAGACACGTATTAAATACAACATTTTTTTTTCGAAAACTAATTAATAGAACCTATAAAAATAAGGATTAAATATTATGTATTAATTTTTTTCAATAATTTTTTTGTGAAAAAGTTAAGAACCACAAACTTAACTTTTTCACGAGTGCTAAATGCCTTTTTTTAATTGATTTTTACCTTTTTTAATTAAATATTTTATTAATGACCTGAGTCATTACCAAAAAACCAAAAGTATTAAAAAAAAGTATTTAATTTCAAAAAAAAAAAACTCTCTTCTTTTGAAAAAATGAGCAGAAATACTATTACCTATGAAAATCGTGTAAAAGTAATGCATTATCACCAGGAAGGTAAAACCGCTTGAGAAATTGGAAGAATAATAAAACGATCACATAGTTTGGTGCTATCAATCATTAAAAGATTCCGAGAGACAAAATCTCACGTTGATCGCCATCATTCTGGAAGACCGCAATTGACGACACCCAATGATGATCGTCTTTTAATCAGATTGGCAAAGAAAAATCGAACTATGTCGTCGCATGAATTAAGAAGGGAATGGAAGCTTTTAATGGATGTCAAGCATCGGCATCACTTATGGGTAAGAAACTAATAGCTAACAATATGCTATGGAAAAAAGCTGTTCTAAAACTGAGACTTAACAAACAACATATAAAAAAGCGAAAAGAATTTTTCCAAAGTGTCAAAGAATGGTCTAAAGAAAAATTGAGGACAGTATTGTTCAGTGATGAAATGAATATTGAGGTTGATAACCGAAAAAACTGAATTATGATTCGCAGGCAGCCTTCCAAAAAGTATAATCTTGATTGTATCGTTCAAAGAACAAAACAAGGTAGCGGGTCGGTCGAATTATGGTGCTGCATGACATATTATGGTCTTGGTATGTTTAAATTATTTGATGGTCGACTCAACTCTATTTATTACGTCGATATTTTAAATAATAACTTGTTACCATCAATTGATGCACTTGAGCAAAGCGTTCCGTTCATTTTTCAGCAAGATAATGCACCATGCCACCGGGCTAAAATTGTCTCTGAATGGTTCGAAAACAAAAATATTGAACGTCTAACTTGGCCACCAAATAGTCCAGATCTAAATTGTATTGAAAATCTTTGGAGTTGGCTTGACAAACAAATTGCCAAGAAAGCACCAAGGAGTCTTGAGGAGTTGCGCAATATTTTACCAACAATACTTAGAAATATTCCCAAACATGATTTAGAGAATTTAATAGACTCAATGCCAAATCGTATAAATGAGTGCTTAAAAATTCATGGTAGAATTACGCGGTATTAGGTAAAAATTACCGTTTTTTGTTCTGTGGTTTTTAACTTTTTCACAATTTTTTTAAAATAAAAATTACCTACAAAACTTTAAATACATTTTTTTTATTTGTTTAAAAGTCTAACTGTTGTTATTATTTTTTATTTTGTTTGTCTATTTCCTAAAATTTATTATTATTATTTTTTTACCAGAAAATTATATTCGACTAAATAAAAATTCAAAAATAAAAATAAATTTTGATTTGTTTTTTTGGTGGTTCTTAACTTTTTCACAATACTGTAATGTCAATAAATAAAATATTAATAAATAAAAAAGTTTACTTTTTTTGTCAATAACTTTGCATTTATTTTCAAAATACTGTATATCCAATTGAAGCTTGTTAGCAAAATGCGGTATATCCATTTTATAAAGATGTTTATAAACTTTAAAAGACTTGAATAAGTTTGAATGATTAATTTTATTTAACATATTGAACAAATATGAAGACCACAATGGAAAAAACGGCAGTCACATTTTTATAATTTTTCAGTTATGGCCCTTGGGTAATAAAGCATTGAAAAATGCTTCTTTTAAGCCAAGTTTTAAATGAAAAAACCGACATAGTCTATGGTAAAATGGAATAAGAAAATATGGCATACAATGGAAAAAACAGCAGTTTCCACCAGTGACAAGGAAAGAAAAGGCAGGGTCCATATAATAACGTTATATGTGACTCTGCCGTTTTGATTTCCATTGTGATCTTCATATATTTAATTATTTGGGTTTAAAAAAGGGTCCATATAGGTCACATGACCTTTAGGGTTGCGTGACCCTTTGGACCAATCAGTAAGCTGTAACCTTTTTTTTTTTTTTAAGTTTTGAATATATTTTGCTGTTTAATAAAATCAATTGCATAAGATTTTGACGTAATAAAATATATAAATAAATAAGACAATTTAAAAAAACAGACCGGGACTCAAAGAAGATATGGGTGATACAATACCACCACAATCTTTTCATAGAGCCCCTAGAAAAATAAAAAGTCGTCAAAAAGTTATAATAAACTGCAGATAAAAGTATGATGTAAAACTTCAAATTTAAATACTCAAGGGTTTAACATATAAAAACCAATGCATAAAATAACTACAAAAAATAAATGTATAATTAATATTTCTAAGAATAAAAAAGTAAAACTATTTTGATAAAACTTAAAAGAATTTTTGTAATTCCTCAGAATTAAAAATGTGTTTTTTTGCTTGCAATTTAAATGAGTTTAATCATTTTACCATATTATCTTTTTTAGCTTCCTTTTTTTGAAAATAGTTCCATATCTTTGGTCCCCGAAATGCTATTGAAAACTCTGTATACTTATTTTGTTTCTTAGGCAATTTAAAGAATTTTGATTGGTTTGTTCTAAGGAAATACTTTTCATTTATATTTTTTTAAACTTACAATTAAAATTTATTGGAGTTAGGTTAATTGTAAACTTATACATGAAAATTAAGTGTTGATAAATATTTATTTCATAAATATTCATCATTTTCATGTCACGCATTATTGGTTTAGTGTGCTCCCTTCTTTTTTGCCGTATATAATTCTACACGCATGTTTTTGAACACTAAGTATTTTTTTAAGTTTTGTAGTTTGCGTGTTGCCCCATGTAATATTGGCATAACTAATAAAACAATGAATTAAGGAGAAATAAATTAATTTAAGACAAATACTATTAACGTAAGAACGAACTCGGTACATCATGCCGATCGTTTTACTAACTTTTGATTGTAAATATTTAATATGGGGAAGCCAAGATAAGTGCTTGTCAACAAGTATCCCTAAGAACTTTATAGAGTCTTCCTGTTTTATTTTTCTATTATTTAAAAAAATATCTGGTAATTTGAGGGGAAGGTTTACTTCTTGCAACTTTTTATAAAATAATGTATACTTTGTTAATTAACAAACCCTGACGGTTTATTAATTACTGACAAAACATTGTACTTATATAACATGTCAAAAAAAGATTTTGTTTTTGGAAATTTCTGGTATGTTAGTGCGTTCAAATTTATACCACCAAGGATAAATAATTTTTTTTTCTCGTTGTTTGTCTTTAAAATACTTTTTTCGATAAAATCTTGAAATGATCTAATTTTACCACTAGGTGGTCGGTAAACGCATCCAATTATACTATTTTTGTTTTTAGCATTAATTACTTCAATAAAAAGACTTTCATAATTATTATTTGCTACACTTAATAGTTTTTTTATTTTAAATTAACACTTTTTGAGCACGTAAACACCTATGCCTCCGCCTTTTTTATTGCTTCCTCGTGGTTGGCTAATTAGTTTGTAATTTGCCAAACTGTAATTAGAATTCAACTCTAGAGGACATTCTGAATCATGCCAAGTCTCTGACAGAGATATGACGTCGAACGTGTAATTTATAATAGATAGAAATTCTTTAAACTTTTCAAAATTTTACCGGATGCTTCTTATGTTTAAGTGTAATGTAGAAAGTAAATTTAAATCTTTTTTGATTTTAAATTCATAAGGATCAAAATAGGGTGTCTTTATTAAGCTCATTTGAGTTCCAGTACACAAGCTCATTTGAGTAACCAGTACACAAAGAATCTATACTAAAACAAAATGGCTGACTACGATGCTACACTTATTGTTACAGACAAGCCAAAAAAGAGAAAGAAAAATGGCAGTAAGAAAGACATAGCAAAGAAACAGAGGTTGTCATCTCATGTAACTGGCCCTGACTGTAAACGTATAAGACTTAAATGCTTTCAAACAGTCAAAGAAGAGAATAGAGCCTTGCTCCTCGAGTCATTCAATGCGTTATCAACAAAAGATGCTCAGGTGAGTTCTTCTTTTAAGTTTTAAATTAAACTCTTTAAGTATAGTTCTAGACTATTTTTTTATTTATAATACTAGCTCTAGATTTAGGTCTAGACCTAGATTCATAATTTTAATGCACCTGTTATTCCACCATGAACATGTTGATTAAATAAGACAAAGAATTTCTTATTCTCATTTTCATTCAAATTTATTTAGGTCTAGAATAGCTAGACCTGTACATCTGAATCATAACCATGGTAGACATCTGGTTGTATTACTGTGTTATGATACCCAAGGCTGGTATTGTATGTTTAATAGGCATTTTCAACTTAGTTTTTTAGTGGGGTGGACCCAATATCACAGTTCATTGTTCTATTTGAACGCAGCATACCAACAAGCCTAGACGTCTATCTAATAAAAAAACTTCTTTATAAAATCGATAATTCCATTATGTTCAACTATCTATAAACAATTCTTGATAAAATCGATCATTCTATTATGTTCAACTTTCTGAGTAGGTCCTAGCACAAAGCAGTGAAATTTATTAATTCTAACAAAGTAGGTAGGCTTATATATTTTTAAATTTTATAAAAATGCTTGTGTTTGCAAAGATGTGTGACCGGTTGCGTTAATAATCTTATATTGCTTCTTTTTACAGGATTCCTATCTTGCTTCACTGATCACAGTCGCCGAGATTAGCCGAAAAAGACATCGAAAGGAAGAGCCTAAAAGTGCAAACAGTCACAGCTATCACTATAAAGTATTCCTGAAGAGTACAGATGATGTTGACCCAGATTCATTTGCCTATGTTTGCTTTCAAGCCTTCATCTCCATCTTTGGAATTAAGAAACGGAGACTTGAGACTATCAAGAGAAGTCTTGCTAATACAGGTAATTTTTACTATTAGCAACAGTTTTTTGTTTCAGTTTGTGGAATAAAAAAGCTATTTTTTCTTATCATAGTTAATGTAAAAAAAATGCACATTTTTCTTTAATCCTTTCTTGTCTATATATTAATACTTTTCAATATTTAAAAAGAAATGTTGAAATTCATAAAGAGTGCTGTTATTCTCTGAACATGTATTTTTATAACTTTTTTTTTTATTTTTTTTTCATTTTTTTTACTCACCCCAGGCCTGCCTCCTGTTGATGGACGAGGAAAGCATGGCAGTCATCACAAAATATCTGATGAACTGCGACAGAGAATAAGAGACCACATCTCTTCGTTTAGGGGTCGGCAGTCTCATTACTCACAAGAGAAGACGAGACGGCTGTACCTGCCAGAAGAACTCAGCATCTCCAAGATGTTTGATTTATATCAAGAGAAGTGGCCAGGAGACATTTTAGTGTATGAGTCATACAGGCTTATATTCAACAACGATTTTAACATTGGAATTGGGTACCCAAGAACCGACACTTGCTCAGCCTGCGACCAGTTCTTGGTAAAAATAGAAATTGCTACAAAGATTCTTGAATCAGACCCAACAAATGAAGTCCTCATAAGGAACCTGAAGCAGTTAAAACTTTAAAAAGATCTCCACCAGCGAAAGGCTGACACATTCTACCGGAGAAAAAGAGACGCTAAGCGAAGGGCCAAGATTACACCTCATCTTGAGGCCTTTACGTTTGACTACCAAAAAAATCTCAACCTACCCAACAAGTCCACCAATGACTTTTACTACAACAGAAAGCTCACATACCAATCATTTAACATTCACCAAGTATCAACTGATGATGTTTTTCTTTATTGCTATGATGAGACTGTCGCTAGGAAAGGTTCAGATGAGGTGGCTTCTTTCCTGTATGACCACATCACAACCTAGGTCAGCGAAGAGGTTACTCACCTTGAACTATTCTGCGATTCCTGCTCAGGACAGAATAAGAACTTTACCCTGATTCAGTTTTTAGATTATATGGTGCACCATAGGAAAAGGTTTACCTCAGTGACAGTGACATTCCCTGAGCGCGGACATTCTTATATGGAGTGTGACAGAGACATGGGTCCAGTAAATACAAAGTCTAGTGCTAGTGTTCCAGAAGACTGGATAAAAATATTTAGTGAAGCACGAAAACATCCTACACCATTTAACGTGACTTTTGTTAAACAGGATCTGGTCAAAAACTTCTCCGGCTTTCTAAGGCCATTGTATAAGAAAAGCTGCCCGTTCCCCACGCGCCCCATTCGGGAAATGGTTTTTAACAAGGATGAAGGTCCAGGGACCGTTTGTCACAGAGACTCATGGAACGGTATTTTCTTGAAAACAAACATTATTGTTCCAACGAGAAAAAACAATTTTTCAGTATGCACAGCCGTGCCAGTAGCTTTGTATGAAGACAGACTGGCTATATCAGCTGCAAAGTACAAAGACCTCCAAGTCTTAAAAAAATTTACCACCAATGAGGCATTCTATGATGCTCTGCCGTATGACGATAAAGTTGAAGATGAGGGTCAAGACCAGTGAATGTTCATGCATTTTTTATTTTTTTATTTGTTTAAAATAAAAAAAAATTTTAAATTCAATGGTTTTATATACTTATTTCTTATGCGTTACAATAGAAAAACAGGCAAAGTCCTAATCAACGGAAAAAACAGCAGAGTCCAATCTGAACACATTTTGAAAAAACAAAATTTTCCATAAGCTCACATGATTTTCAGAATATTTATTTGTTAAAATTTGATGCTTAAATGGATGACCTTCCCTTAAAAATTAAAAGAATTGACAGTTTCTCACATAATTTGTAATAAAAAGGTTTCAAACCTTTAATTTAGGTTTTCTCAAAATGTAAAAAATGTGACTCGGCTGTTTTTTCCATTGTGCTCTTCATATGTGTATTTAATGTTTGGTCATTATATTTTATTGGTAATGTGAATGTAAACAATGTTCTATTAAAGTAATGTAAACTATTACATTTCACAATTCGCAATTGTAAATTTAAATTTGAGAGTTAAATATGGACAATAAACAATAATATTTTTTTAGTGTTGTGTAGTTGTAACAATGATGATCACTATTTTTAAGTCTCCATTGAATTAATGGACAATTAATATAACATAAAAGTCATCGTTATATTTTTGAACGAAATAAAATTTTAAAAATGAAAGACTGCAATAGCCTCATTTTATTTGCAACAAAGCAATTGTCGGTTTAACAAAAAATAAAAAGGAAGTATTATTATTGAATGCTTTCCATTAAAAAACAGGTAACAAATATATTTAAACTTATTAATTTAAGTTGCCTTTTTAATATATTTTCTATCATCATTTCATAATTAGTTCAGTTAAACAAACAAAGCATGGTAGCTGAAACGAACACTAGAATTAAGAAATGCTGTTCTTTTCTTATGTTTCATACATTATATCTTTTTTTCTATGTGAAATAGGATATTAGATAACGCATTAATCTTGTCCATCGCAATCCGCCATTTCTTTAACGCAACTTTAAAATATTATATATATATATATATATATATATATATATATATATATATATATATATATATATATATATATATATATATATATATATATATATATATATATATATATATATATATATATATATATATATATATTGTTTACAATTTATTAGATTAATTTTGCGTGAAGCGCATTATTTTGGTAAATGTTCGCCTTTGTAAGGTTCTATATTTACACATTTTTTCCTCAAAGAATGAGTATAATAATAAATATTTTAAACTTTTGTAATATATATATATATATATATATATATATATATATATATATATATATATATATATATATATATATATATATATATATATATATGATATATATATATATATATATATATATATATATATATATATATATATATATATATATATATATATATATATATATATATATATATATATATATTTAAATTATGTAATTAAAAAATATTTCGTTCCATTCTATTGATTTCCATTCTACAAAATAACCTAACTAGGCCTTTTGTAAATTAGCGAATTTACCGAATTTAGGGTGGAGGGGGTACGTCGTGTACAAGTCCGCCGAAATTCCTTCAGATGTAACTACATCAGAAAACCCACATTAAAGCTATATGTGATTAAAATAATGCATTTATATTTAATATAATTTTCCGGATGTAACTACATCTGAACAAAACCATTAAATGTTTTTGAGGTTGACAAAAATTCACCGACCTCGCTTCTATGTTTTATGGTAACACTTTTATGTCAAATTTTTTTTAACGACCTGATACCGATAGATATAGTTATATATCATTATATTTATAGATGTTGTAGGACAGATGTTATTAAACATAGCAAAACCTGATGTTGTTATCCTGACCCTATATATATATACATTATATAATAAGAGAGAAATTGAAAGATAGATATGTATATTTAATATATTTTTCTTTAGTTATGTTTACATTTAGTTTTGTTAATGTTTAATAAAAAACTCACAAACATTTTTTTTATTCCATAAGATGTTGTGTGAAAAATAAGACATCCACTGTGAAAAAAAAGGCATCTGCTTATAGCATGTTTACTATCTGAATGTCTACTTCCGTATTCCAACATTTTGGAATGAACTGAACCAGGTGGTCAGTTGACAATCAATTCTTTATAGCATAATACAACCGCGGAAACCACTGGCAAATTATTTATTCATTTATATCAATGTTTTGACTGTAATTCTGCAAAGTTTTCTACTTAAAATATTAAGTTCCTCGCAAAACATAACAATGTTTTGGGTAAACCAAGATGGCGGCTGACTTTCAAAACTGGCTTTAGGCATTTTTCATAAAGTATACTACGGCGTCCTATTTATTAAACCTCCTTTAACACTGTGACACAAAGAGTTTAATAAAGTTTTTTTAAACAAAAATTATATTTGTGTTTAGAAATTGCAAATGATATCAATGTACGCAACAGCATTGTGTGAAACTAATTATTAACATAGTGTATTGCATTGTAAGATGAGTATTTTAAATAATCAATTATATAATTTAAAGTCAAACTCGTTGGAAGGAAATATTTATTTTTAGATTTAAACTTGAATAAATTATCATATGCAGCCAAAACCACTGGCATAGGTTTTGATAAATATAAAATTTTATTTGCTTTAGACATTTTATCACAGAATAACCACTAAATGCTAATGTGATGTTTCTTTTTTTCGGTGTGTGCACTCATAGATTTTATAGGTCCTGCGAAATTTATTAATACGGCGTGACATTTCAACAGTTATTCTCTTCGTGACATTTATAGTTGCTTCTAAACTTTTATATGTCGCGCGACTCATACAAGTTAAGAAGCAACTAGCATTACTCCATAAAGGTATAAAAGTGGCGTGTAGTTTCAACATTTTGATGAATTTAAGAATTTAGCGTGACATTTTTTACAGTATATGTTTTGTAACATAACTTTTATAACACGCTAGCCCTCAATATATTCAAGATCAATGAAATCATCAAAAACTGTTTGCAGATATTTTAGGAACTTTATTTGTAGATCAGAGTATGTTTTTTTAGTAAATTTTTTAGTAAAGTTTTTAGTAGAGTAAATTTTATTTTACCAAAAAATTAAATTAAAGTTTAATTAAAGTATATTCTCCATTAGATTCTCCATTAAGGTTGTCTACTTTGAAAGACAGTCCTCGAAGTAGAGAAAAAACAGTAACGGGATGGTGTTTAGTAAATTAAAAATAACATCCTGACTAATCATTGTTATCAAGAGAGATTTACAAAAAGATGGCGGGAGGGTTTATATTTGATAAAAAAGTAACTAGATGGCATCCCGCTTCTTTTCAAGCACTGTTGAATTGTAGAAAAGATGTATACTTTTCAAGATAAAAAGGGTGTCCACTCTTGTCAAGGAGATTGCATTTTTTTTTTATAGTTACAGCCTCTATCAAAACTTTAACTCCGAGACGCATACCTCGATAAAAAAATTTTATTAAAATTTCCAAGTAAATTTCAGGTTAGATCTATTGAAATTAAATTTAAAAACTGTATTTTAATCATTAATATAAAAATATTATAAAAAATTTATTTATTAGTAAATACATATATTTATGTATGTACTTTTGAGTACTTTGAGTGTTTTTAAAATTATTAAATTACTGTTATTTAATAATGTATTTCTATAAATAGTATTTTCATTCGTTTTTATATAGATAAACTAGGTAAAAACACCATGTGGAAAATATAAATATATAATTAGATATTGTGCGATAATGATCGTACAATATCTAATTATTATTTATATTTGGTTAAAGAAAGCGTGTCACACAGAAGAATTAAACTTTGTACTGATGAAATGTCAGGAAGATGATATCATTACTGTTTAAACTGTGAGGCTGTTTCCCTAACCCTAAACCTGACCAATTGGTCAATAGTGACCAATCGGGATATGCTATGATGAGATGTTTTATCCAGGGCCGGTGCACCCTATAGGCGAACTAGGCAATCGCCTAGGGCGCCAAAGTTTAGGGGCGCCTAAAAATTGATAAGTTTTTTTATATGCTAACAAAAAACAACGCTTTTGTTCATTGAGCAATATGTACGTACATTTTACCGAACGCAATCTAAATCATAACAAATATGGCGGCGTCTTTACAATCAAAGTGATTTTCATCACAACTTTCAATAGTTAGTCGACTATATTCTTTATATAATTTATACTGACAATGTATATATATATATATATATATATATATATATATATATATATATATATATATATATATATATATATATATATATATATATATATATATATATATGCATATAGATGAATAGTGACATTCTATATACTATTATACATTTATATTAAGTTTTAGACACTTATTAAGAAAAGTAAAATATTTTTTATATGAATATATAATAACTAGCTTATATATAATAATAGCTTATATATAATAATCTATATTACGTATTATATTATTATTATACTTCACCATACGTATAACTTTGCTATACAAAATAAAATTTGAATTATTTAAACACAATGCATCTAGCAGGTTAAATTTTTTGTTGAGTCGCTTCTACAATATGTCTTGATCTGCACCAGCTAATTACACATTGAAATCTCATTCATATAGCTAACTTCCATTTCCGTTTAAAAAAACACAAAAAATACTAGCAGGACGTATAACTTTGCCAAGTTGTTTTTTGTATAATACAGTTAAATGATAACCTGTTAAAACCTTACAGAGCTGTTCAGACCTGTTGGAAACTATAGCTAGCTATATATAATTTATTCTTGAAGCCAATCACAGAAGACCTATTAATGTATTAGTTAAACATCGCAACATTCATTTATTTTATTATTTTCTTGTTACATTTCAGATATGGCTGAGAGAAAGAAGCCTTCAGGAGCTCAATATCGTAAACGAAAAGTTGAACAGGAGAGGGAACAAGAACAGAAGGGTTGATTGCTAAAGTTTATATGCCGACAAGACTCTACTAAAGAGGATAGTAATGGTGGACAGATTCCCACTGGTATGGAAGCTGAAGAAATATCTAATGTTGTTGATAATGATAATGTGATGATGAGTGAAACACTTTCTTACGCAACAGTTCCCGTTTCCCATGTAGATAATGGCCAATTGAATAATTCTCTCGAGGAACATGTACAGCAAGCAAGTGAAGAAAAAACGGATAATGTTATTCCACAGGATCCAGCACTTTGGCCTCTACTAATTAATCATTTAAGTTCGTGGTTTCAATTGTTGTATGGTACAACATACTTTTTGAAATCAATATAACAAGTAAGCAGCTCCAAGCTAAAGACTTGGATATTCATGCTGCTGTACAACAGTTACAACACACACAAGCCTATTTGGTTGACTGTAGGAGTGACATAGGTTTTGCAAGAATGCTAGTGGATGCTGCTGAAATTGCTAAGGATTTGGAGATACCACCAACCTTTGAGGCAGAACCACGATTACGGCGGAGAAAAAAGCAATTTGCATATGAAGCTGAAG